GTAGTAGTTTCATTGTCTTATGGTTCAGGTTGTGAACTTAATATGTAGGATCATTACATTTTCTCTCCTATCAGGTACTTTAGTGTTGTTTCTCCTGGAGATACTGTTAATGTGATTGGTGAGTTTGATGCTCTGGGGAAGTGTGATGTGAATTCCAAGAGAAATTCTCTCATTGTCCACCCTGATATCTTGGTTTCTGGTACTCGGGTATTCTCTATTGCTCGTACTTTGTTTTAAGTATTTTCAGCTTCTGTTGACTTATGTATGAGTCACTAACAAAAGGGGTGTATTTTATGGTTATTAGCTTCAGTATTTCCCGCCATCATCAGTTGCCTCAATTGTTTATTTTTCTGAAATTTTCGCACTCTAGGTTTCTGCTAGTTTCAGCTGCCCAAGACGCACCATCCTTGATGAGAGATTAAAGCATAACGAGCATTCTGTTGCAACATTGATGGGTACCTTATTGCATCAGATATATCAGGTTCTTAGAAAAAGAGTTATCACACAATTGATTTTGCCGACAAGCTATGCCTACGCTTCCGTGAGCAAAAATACTTCTGTTTTCAGGCTGGTCTCATCACTGGATTCCCTACAAAAGAATTCTTGGAGGAGTATGCGGAAACAGTGCTTCAGAAAAACCTGGAGAGCATATACGCATGTGAAGGTGGAGAATTCTTAATTTCTCTTTTAATACTTTGTATCTCATTATTTTCATTAAATTAGGTGCGTGGAGTTTTGACAATGAATATGCTAGATACGGTTATTTTGTTTGTTCTTGACCCTAACTCATTTCCTGTGTTATTGCAGCGAATGAAAAGGATATTTGGAAGACTTTGATTGGGGCAATTCCTAAAATACTGAATTGGATATCCTCTTTTCGTGATTCCGAGGTAGTAGATTTTGATGGTGATAAATGTAATGTCTTCAGGTCATGATACTTTCTGAACACAGTGGTATTAAATAATGTCAGTCTTTTAGTGACAGGTTTATACCTACAATCCTGATCAGCTAATTACATTAAAAATAGATGAATTGGATGAATTGTATTCTATTATGGGGCACTCTTCAGTCTCTAGTTTTTGTATGCTCCAACAGATGGTAAAGGGTTCAAATGCCTTATTTGAACAAATCACGGACCACAATGTATTCCAGAACCAAAATTTTTACTTATTAATAATTTCTTATTTTCATCTCAATTTTCTGTTTATACGAAATTTGACTAATGCTTTTGCTGTCACACCCAACTATTCATGCTTTCTAAATCGTGATTCTTTGTCATCATGTCCAACTTTGGCCCCTTGAAATTAGACAATGACGTGTTCTGTGCTATTCACAACCTTTGACATGACTTCAATGCCTCAACCTTTTGTAGGGCTCCACAAGTCCAAGCATTGATTTTAAATGTGATGAAGGGCTTAAGAAGATCAAAATTTCTGAGGTAAGGCTTGAACAGAATGACTTTGCAAGATTCTAAAACTATTATAAGAAACAACATGAGATTTTGAATCT